GTCAGTTACAATTAAATGGTGAAAACATTCATCAGAATTAGTTATTCCTGATTTTAAACTGTTTGTCAAGTGGTGTCAGTTGCACTGACAGTAATACAAATCGTAATGGTGTACACTTTACAAGAAAGAACTGAAATTATTTTTATTTATGGTGCTGGAGATAGGTGTGCTCGTAGGACAGCCCGGGTTTTTAATGAAAAGCATGCAGGCCAAAATGTGAGTCACCGATATGTTCTAGACCTTGTTCAAAAATTTTAAGAGGCCGGTTCTGTGTGCAAAAAGCAGTAAAGCAGCCGAGAGTTCTAACGGAAGCCGCACAGATTGAGATTTTAGTCCAATTCGCCGTTGAGTCCACTACTTCAATTTCGAAAGTCGCTAAGTTAGTAAATATTTCAGTTGGTTCTATACACAAAGTTTCAAAACTAAACAAGTTGTTTCCTTATAAAATGAGTATTCCTTAGCAACTCAGTGGGGATGACTATGATAGGAGAATTGAATTTTGTGAAATAATGACTGTGAGAATTCAAAATGACCCAAATTTAATAAAACATATTCGACTTGTTCGATTGATGATTTATTAATTTTGTAGAAATTCATGTTGAATATAGTTTCTACTGTGTTTATTTATTCGTTACGAACGGTTTTGGCATTTTCAAGTTACTTGAAAATGGCCTTATAAGCCGAAACCTGTCGTAACGAATGAATAAACACAGTAGAAACTAGACAAAAGTATTTTCTCTATTCTACATAAAACATATTTGCTTCAGTTATGAATCAACTTTTTTTCTTAATGGCTTTGTAAATAAGCATAACTGTAGATACTGGGATAATTAAAATCCACACTTGTTTCGAGAGGATCATACGCAATACTCACAAAAAATAAACATTCAATGATTTTTTCCAAATCCTTTGAAACAGTATTTTCATCGCCAGCGATTGAGCCATCATCCAAATACCAACAATTAAATTCGGATGATAAGCTTCTAGTAAGTTCGTTGATGGTCAGACAAAAAAGAGCTGATGAGAACAAATTATTTTGGGATCAGTCAACGTCTAGAAATATTTACCATGAACAATATTTTGAACTTCTCACAATATCCTTTTTTTTTAGTTGCCCCAACTGTACTTGAACCCGTTGTGGGATGGATAGATAACTTCAACGGACCAGTGGCATTGAATATCGCAGCAGCTAAAGGTGAGGAGATTTGGAAATTATGAGGAGTTCGAGCCTTTTCATAAATGCGGAGGCAGAATAATTCATTTATAACTACCAATGATTACAAATCTTCACAATATAGACTCAGGCTGGGGGCACGAAAATCACGACGATCAAGCGATGGCGACCGCGTGGGCACGAAACTTCGGCCAGTCGTGCTGAAGTAGAGTTGTGAGCAACAATCACGTTATCGTAACAAAAGTTAAGGTCAAAGGAAACTATTGGATCCAAGTCTAATGATGAGAATGAAGTTATTATTACCTCGAGATGACGTTCATCCAATAAATGAAGAAGGAAGTAATTTTGGTGATTTTCTACCCTTCCTTACGAGCTAGGGTGAACTTTTCTATCTCCCATAGAGCAGGTTTTGACAAAATACACGAGATAAATGATTCATTATCAATTTCCATTTGATATTGGTATTATAATATTTTTCTACACATCACTACCGTAATCGCGAGCGACCTGATCACACTAGTTTGTTGTGTGTCACCGTTTTGCAGTCGTGCCGCTTCGCCGTTGCTTGGCCGTCGCCATTTTCGTGCCCTCAGCCTCACAGTTGGTCTGGTACCCTACAATGATGAACAATGCAATTCGAATAAATTATCAATTTCAATTGATAGAAATTACTAATTGGTGAATAGGGAGTTTGAAGAATAGTACGTACAAAGCGGATGAAAATTATTTTGACTAATGGTTCAACTGACTCTAGGAAATCTATTATTTCAACAGTGGTAAAAGACCACTGGTCGCTGGATGTAAAGAGAACCTACTCATCGATAGATGTGTAACGCAGGACTCGATACAATATAAGCGTAACCTCTCTATGGCCTGGATCGATTACCTTAAGGCATTTGATATAATTTCGCATGAGCTCATCTTGCATTTGCTCAGATGCCTTGCGGTACCCGTCAACATAGTGAGATGCATTGAACAACTGTGCTATATTACCATCTACGGTATTCTTAAGGTACTGATGAGACACCGGTGTTGCCCTACTCTTCGAGGGATATTGAATCCGTTGTAGGGAACGAGAAGTATCGAATTCATTGGAATTGTTATATATTATTATATGGTTTCGCTTGCGAAAGTTGTATGGATTTGTTATCTGAGGATTGTTGATGGCTTTTGGCAGTTCTCCTACCTGTTTTTCTACCTGAGGGTTGTTAATGGCTTCTGGCGGTTCTCCTACCTGCGATGGTTCATTATCAATTTGTGGTTGTTTTGGGGGTTGTTATTTTTAACTATTGTTTTCCAAATCCTTGGGATGTTTAGTGAGTCATCCCTTTTGTTGATGAGGCCTTGCTTTTCGATTTCGATAGCTTCCCTGATTTGTCGAATTCTTGGGTTTTGCACCTGTGCTATCTATTTTGTGGACTCAAAATTAATCTTGTGACCTGTTTGTAGATGGTGTTGAAAGAGGGCAGAGGAGGTTTGTTTTGTTCTCATAGAGTTTTTATGCTCCTGGGTTCTGGCAGATATACGTCTGTTGGTCTGACCGATATATTGTTGACCACAGTCCTCGCATGTGATGCTATATACTCCTTGATTTCCTAGGGAAATTCTCGCTTTCGGTCTGGACAGCCAACTGGATATCGTTTTGTGCGGTTTGTCCGGATGTTTTAACGTCTTAGTATTCTCCCGATTTTGTCGGTCACACCTTTGACATAAGGTAGTGTCACAGATTGTCTGTCGTGTGGAGAGCCTTCTGTCGATCTAGTGGATGTTTTTTTGGTTCTTCTTTGTCTGTCGATGGCCTTTTGAATGATCTTTGGTCCGTTGCCATTTTGTCGCAGAGCCTTTGTTGTCCCCCTCAAGTCTGTTGCCCTATTCGTTGGTTCTGTTAGGCAAAAACTGCGGGATATTAACGTGTTGGCTACGGATTGTAGCTGGGTAGGGTGGTGGTGTGATGCTGCTTGTAGGTAGCGGTTGGTGTGTGTGGATTTTCGGTAAGCTGTATAACCCAAGTTGCCAGTTGGTTTTCGTGTTATAAGTAGGTCTAGGAAAGGTAGCTGCCTGTTCTCCTCTCCATCGCAGGTAGGAGAACCGCCAGAAGCCATTAACAACCCTCAGGTAGAAAAACAGGTAGGAGAACTGCCAAAAGCCATCAACAACCCTCAGGTGGAAAAACAGGTAACAATCCATACAACTTACGCAAGCGAAACCATATAAAAACACCACAAGAAGAACCTAACATCAGTTACACCTCTCGAAGCGAAGCAGAATGTTACATTCAACCAGTTGAAACATGTCAATATAATAAAACAAGTCACCACATTAAAAAAGGTTTGACTCCCCAATGACATAAAGAAGGTTATTTAAATTTACATAATAAAATTGATATATGGTTTGAAATTATAAAATACTAAACCATGTGGCTGTAGACCACAGAGAGAGATAATGAAATAGTTGACACTGACAGCTCTCATGTGATTCAGTTTGAAAACTGATTTGTTTTCATGTCTATGTTGAACTATGGAACAAAACAGAACAATTATGGTGCAAGTGTAATCAGAGTCATCTGCTGTTTTGTGAGAGTATTAATCTATAGTACGGAATATGAATTTTCATTTGATATTCTGATTTATCCACAGGTATTATGAACACTTCATACTGTGATATGAATGTCAGGCAGGATTATGTTTATGTCGATAATCTGGTTAAAGCAATGTTGGTGGCTTCTTGGAAAATGGCAACCGAGTGAGTATATTGTGTATATTGCGTAAATTATTGTTGTTTTGGTGAAATCAAATGTATCTATAGAAGAGGGACATTGCTTATCAGATTCTTCAAGAAATAAAACAATTCTTTCTGCAAAAATGTTTGGTTCTAGTAGTTTGAATAGAACACGTAATAATGAAATTTGGCGATAAATGTCAATATCTACTTGAGAACGTTTTTTATGTATTGGTATAACCTCTGCAGTTTTCCAGATGTCAGGAGAAACTCCCTCGAATATTTATCATAAGCTTCACGATAATGTTGGGATGACAAACTTTAGAGCCTTCACTTTTATATCATCCAATCCACTCGATGATATATTATTTAGATTACTCATCGTTATTAGTATTTCAGGTTCGAAACTTCCTCAGAGAATATCGAGTTTTTATTGGAATCAGAGACGGTATGTTGTACCGAATTTCAGAGGCTACCGTCACAAAGTTAATAGCAAACTTAGAAAATATTGTTTACAAATATATTTTAGGAATGGAAACAAGAGCCAAAGGGTCAGATGAAATTAATATAAATATGCTACTTCTTGGCTGTCCTATAATACTACTGTATTATACAGTGTGTTCCTTAAACACATGCTAATATTTAAGGAGGTAATTCTTTGACCCATTTTAAGAAAAAACTTCCCATGGACGTATGTCCTAAACGCCTTAACTTTTGAGATACAGGGTGGCAAAGTTTTCAAAAATAATCAGTTTTTTAATAATAACTGAGATAATTTTGTAGACATCTTTGGCATATTTGGTACATATGTTCCATGCCTCAAGGCGCATTTTCTGATGTACACAAATTTGTATTTTTTCAAACAGTGGCATCCCTACGGGTTTCGCATTGAATATTTTTGGGGAAAAAGTACTACGCCAATGCTTTCTTTTCAAAATAAAATCATTTTTGAAATCCTCATTTATTTTTGAGAAAATTTGATCTCCTGGTATTTCTTTGTCCGACGCATGATTTTCACTCAAAAAAATAAAAATCGACAGAAAGCAAATTCAAGAAATTAGATCAATTCTAAAATGAATGAGAATCTGAAAATTGCCTTCATAACGCATTACCAATTCCCTAATAATATTTGAAAACATAATCTGCAAAAAAATAAATTTTTCACAAAAACGAGTTTTATTTTATTTTGTGACAGTAAGTCTAAACGAATAGCACAAATTTGTTAATTAGTAATAATACCAAAACTGATTATAAAAATTGTTGGAAGTGGCCACCTGCACTTAGTATGGTCAAAATCATACCTATCCGAGACGATAATAGAAGTGTCATCAGCGTACATTATTACTGTTTCTTCCGTTATTGAGTTTGCCAAATCATTTATATGAAACAGAAACAGTATTGGGCCTAATATGAATCCTCGTGGCACCCCAAGGTCCATAGAAATTATATCAGATCTCATTTTAATAACTTCTACAAACTGTTTTCTATGAGAGAGGTAATCCAATAACCAAGACAACGGAAGACCACGTATGACATACTTGTACAGTTTATCTTTGAGAATTTGATGATCTACACAGTCGAATGCTCTGCTGAGATCACAAAATATCCCAACACGGCACTCTCCTGCATCAAGGCATTGGATTATTCCATTATAGGATGAATGTAATGCTGTTATAATTGACTTCTTATTTAAAAATCCATGTTGATTTCTGGCAAAGACATTATTATTATCACAGAACGGTATCATTCGATTGAAGAAAGTGTATTCAAAAATCTACGAAAAGCAAGATGGGATTGTCACGGGTCTGTAATTTTCCAAGGATTGGCAACAATTTTTTTATGGATTGGAATAATTTTTCCCATTTTAAGAGGGTCGGGAAATGATCCAGTGGTAAAGGATAAATTCACCAAATAGACCAATGGCCTCATCAAGACTGGTAGATATTTTCTCAAAACAAACATTGGAACCTCATCAAAGCCGGAAGAATATTAATTTTTCAATTTTTTTTGTAAAAGGCTATATAGTTCAGTCTCCGTATAGGGACTAAGGTATAATGAGTTCGTAGGCGATACAATATTCCTCAAGAAGAGCTCATACCCTACACTGTTTTTATCTATCTTATTTATTATATCTGCAGCAATGTCTCTGAAATAATGATTGAAGATATTGGCAATCAAATTTGGTGATTCTACCATACGGTTATTGTCTTTTATTATTATAATTTTTTGCTTACTATTTGACTTATTAGTTAAGTGAGATACAATTCCCCACGCTGCTTTATGAATATTGTCCGCGTTTTCAATTTTACTCTAGTAGTATCGTTTTTTAGTCGAATTGATCAGTTTTAAATGTTTTAGTTTCTCCTTACTGTAAAAAGTTAATAACTCGGGAAAAATTTGTTTCAACTTAAAAAGATCCTTTAAATCGTGGCTTGATTTTACAATTTCGGTATTGACCCAACCCTTGATTTTATTATTATTCAAGTATTTTTTTACGTTTTGGGAAATTTATCTCAAAATGGTATGAGAATTTCAATGGAAATTTAGATGAAGCACCATTCATGTCAGATGTGCTCGTTGAGTCTGACCAGTCTTCATTCTGTAAACCTCCAACAAAAAAATGATAGCATCATTATCGAATGATCTTTTCAATTCCCACGAATTTCCCGTTTCAAGTGCTCTCATTCCGCAGTCGAATAGTAACGTTCTGTGATCAGATATAGTGTTGTCTATCACACAGCATGATTCATTTCTGAAATCGAAAAATATATTATCAATTGTTGACACTGCACTAGTTGTAACTCTTGTTGGCCAACCCACTTCTGGGGGCATATTAAAACAGTTAAAAATATCACATAATTTTTTTAAATCATTAATATAACCATTATAGCAGTCAATATTGAAATCACCACAAAATATCATATTACAGTTAGGTTTGTACGTGCGGGTAAGAACATGAGATTCCACATATTTCGAAGTCTTGTTCAACACAATCATTCTTGAGATTCAAACATCACTGTCATGTTACTTCTCGTCAGGATTGCAACACCACCCCCTTTCTTTTCTTCTCGACAAAAATGGCTTTGAAGATGAAAGTCATTCAAATGGAAGTTCACTGATTCCTTTTTACACCATGTTTCTGTCAAACATATCAATATTGACTACAAAATATCCAGATTGATAGCATCAAGTTTGTTTTGATTTAGGCATTGGATATTCATCATGTTATATGTTATGATCAGTGGGATGAATGAAACAGTAAACCATTCTTGGTACTGAATGATGTTCCATGATCTGACATCTGACGGTAACAATTTTCTAAATTCTATGCAATATTTCAATGTCAAACTTCAATTTTTCATAGTACCTACACTGAGATTAGTTTTCAGAGATGAAATTATGTCAATCAATTCAACGATGCTTGTCTCTCAATTTCAGGAAACAGACACAAGAAGTACTGATTTGTAACACTTCTTCGGACGCACTTCAATCGCTGTCATTTAATTACAGAAACCGGAAGATGGTAATTGAAAACCCACCAGAAACATATATTTGGCCATTTTCTCTCAGGTTCACGAATTGCTTTTATATGTTTTCATTGATCAATCTGATTTATCAAATATTACCGGCTATACTCCTTGATGGATTACTTTGGATATTCGGACACAAAATGAGGTGAGTTGAAATCATACCAATTCAGTAGAGAAGAATAGAAATACAAACATTTGAGAAATTTGGAATTCCAACAAATTGGCGGGATACTTATTTGTGGAGTAATTCACTTGGCACCCATCCAAATATCAGTGTTCACTTATCGCCCCTCCCCTTTTCTACTGTAGCAGCCGCAAATATCCTGAACTAGTACAAGCTAATGAGTCATTATATTAGTCTGGTTCACATGTACTCGATTTAGCTCTTTTTGGTGACATTTTTCAGTCCTGTCCAAAAATTACGATCAAGGTGTCATTCGATTCGTATTTTTACCTAGAAAGTTCAAGGAAAGGTCCGAAAAAACGCTGATAAAAATTACAAATGTTATAAACAATTAAGTGAAAAAAAATGGGGCTTTAGTTTTTTCCTGATATCTCGGAAAATTTTCAAAATTTTGGAAATTTGAAAAAAGATTTGAAAAGATCAATGAATCTGCGTAAAAAAAGTTCCGACTCCCGAAAGTGATCTCGATTATTTATAATTTTTACAGAGCCCTGAAAATAGAGCCAAAAGCGGGTAGTCTGGCTTCCGCGCGCCTTTCGTCACTCTGACATAAAAACAAAAAAAAATATTTAAACATTAAATGTGAATATTGAGGAATGAAAAAATTCATGT